TTGCTTACGTGAGGCTCTCACAGGTGAATTTAGCTTGGGCTCACTTAACACCTGCAAACAGTTTGTGACGAGATGTCTATGTGAAAGCTTCACCCCCTTCGGGAAGCCTGTGGTCCCGCTGGAATATGGCAGCACTACCACATTGTCAGCGCTCAGCCTATCATCAGCAGCAAGGTTTGACGTGTCAATGCCTTTGTGCGTCATTTCTTGGAAGTTGATTGTTCCCTGGGGAATTGTTTTATCTTCCAACCCTGGAGTGATGATAACTGGAATTCTTCTCTTCCTTTCAGCCTCCAATGTGCTGACAGCTTTAGACACGTTGGGATAGACTTCTGATATCGTCACAATACCAGTGGCACCCGAGTCTCTAAGCTGCTTCAATATTTCATCTGCGAAACAGTAATGTTTGTTTCCCTGTGATACATATGCAATTTCTTATGTATGGTAATAATTTCTTAATCTTAAACTCTATGGCATGCTTTGACATCTGTGGTATATCCATCCACCTGTGTTGCAGACTTCTGTGGCACTGGAAAGTCACTGGACAATAGATGAAAGACTATTACAAGTACTATTGGTTTTACTCTTGCCTGAGCACCAACTATCTTGACTTACGCCATCATGAATTTCTTTGGTCCCTTCAGATGAATGATGAGTACAGAAAGTCCTCAAGCTACAAATGGGTTTAATTTTAAAAATGTGTCTATAAATATTTTATTGAGAATTGATTTTCCCATGGGTCAAATGTTTATTATGGTGATTAGGTCTCGAAGCATCCAAGAATAGTATATTTGATCCATAATTAAGCTGAAATATAATACATTTGGGATAATAATACTGAAAAGTAATACTGTTGCAATACCAGTATTAAAATAAAGCAGAAAAATAAATTGTACAACAGACACTTCTTTTATTCATTTACTTGAATGTTGTTTTTCAGCTATGATTTGGGTCTTTTTGACGTAAATACGTCTATACGGAAGGCTGTGAATCGCTTGTAGAAGAAGTGCGTCGTAGACTAGATAATTTTGACATTACATTTCCTTACATTACATTACATTCAACTACCTTCCTTTCATTGTATTTATTGCTTAAATATAATTTAAATACAGAGACGTATTTACGTCAGATTCTCCGTGGTTCCACTGTCAATTTTTAGCTCAAATTATCAGTGAACATAAACAGTTCATGCTCAGAAAGCAACAGATAAACTGAATACCATACATCATGTAAAGTAGGGCATGAAACCAAGGTAAGGTGCACAGCTGCAAGTAGATCCTGAAATAGGTGTCTAGTTCACATGCATCAATTAAAATCAAATTACTATAACATTAAGGTGTGTTAACAGGTGTTTTTCAAGGATACAAGAGTTTGCAACCTAGAAACTTCTTGTATAGTATTATAAAATATCTCATGAACTATATAAACATATTTTAGAATTTTGATAGCGTGCCACACACATCGGTATAATTATAAAATCTAGCGTGCCACACACATCGGTATAATTAAAAAATCTCATATCTTTCATATCTACCAGCTTGACACACAGAAATCTTTCCATCGCTAATTACGTGACAGCGTACCTGAAGTGAAGCCTGGGTTGACAGTGGTGACAACCATACCAGCCTCAATTGCTCCAAACAGAACGTGCAGATATTCTGGTATGTTGGGGAGCACCACTGCAATCACATCGCCATGTTTAAATCCTGCCTTACGGAGTGATACAGCAAAGCGACGTGCAATCGCACGTGACTCGGCGTACGTGTATTTGCGGCCTGTCAGTGAACACACCTAACACAAACAAGAAAGGGTTTTTAATCAAGAACGTTTTCTCTGCTGCACATGTTTACCAACTGACATACGATTTGAACTCGGCTGTTCAAAATAGAGATGTATAAAAAATAATAATTCTGATATTGCAAAAGAAGTACCTCACATAATTTCTGTATATGCAAACTACAATAATTATTCTATAAGAAAACTATTTCGATGCCCATATAATTATATTTCACAGCCATTGAAATATATTAAGTGACCTGAAGCAGCACATTCTGCACAGCTGTCAAAGTACAATTTTATAGGCTAATAACATCTTAATCTAGAAAATGAATTGCTTCACGGCAGAGCCCAACATTCAAGTTTCTGTTCATAGGTGCTCCATGTGTCTGTGGGTGATTCAGCACACGTCCCATCTGACTGCAATTTCATCCCATATTCTGCTCGTACGTAGCATATCTTTAATACTCTTCAACACTCTTTACCACATCACGGATTGTGTCTCGCAGTGGCCATAAGAATTCTGGTAGAGCAGGAACATAAACTCTGTACCCTTAATATAGCCATAAAAATCAAAATCAAGGAGTGTGATGTCAGGTGACTATGACACGACAGAATTCGTAATGAGATATCGACTGTCAGTAAACATATAAACCTGAGACACACTTATACTGAGACCTTGATGAGGCAGTGAGAATTCCACCTGAAAATCAGAAGAAGTCCTTCAAATAACCAGCCTCCCAATATGGAGTATATCTGCAGATGACAGGGAGTAGTCCTCCAGTTTGTATTTCAGGTATAGTACCTCCATAAATTAGGCCATTTCGAACAGCACTTCATATAACCAGTATTTAGTTCTGATGTCAATGTCATTCTGAGATTTGGTGCCGTGCAGACTCCAAATTTAGGGCTGAAGATGGAGACAACATATTTCTCACAAACGCTGGCATCTACCTCATTTTACGCGACGCCAAAACCCAGAAGAACACGGTCATACTCACCGCCGTAAAAATACCCAAAATTTCACATAATATTTTGTCCTGTTTATGTGTTATTTTCGTACGCTACGTATTAACTACGTCTTCGATCTGATCACAGCTCTGCAACGCTCGAGAATCGGACATGTTCCGGTATTTACAAGCCCATAATAGTTCTATCCAATCTCCTGACGTCGACCCACGTTTAATGCGACATTTCTATATGTCCCATTCTCTTTAAATTGTAGTTCGATGGAAAAACAATCAAATACTTCGCCGTTCAAACATCCTATTTCAATTTTAGCTACGTAACATTAGAATTACCTTTAATGACAGGAGTGTGGTGGGAACGGTTTCCCACCGACATAGTAAATGAGCCTACTGTAAAAGTCACAAATGTTAAGGACGGTGTTATACCTCTGTTCAGAATTGATGAAATGACTCAGGGGAAAAGCTGATGTTGTTACAGAAAAATCAGTCTTGTTCAGAATTGATGAAATGACTCAGGGAAAAGCTGATGTTTTTACAGAAAAATCAGTCCCAGTGCAGATGTGCCCCCAGCTGCACTCGGCTGTCCTTCGTGAGAGACAGGAAATCAGTTAATGGCTCACCGTTCTTTTACGTCATGAATTCCTTTACTGTATTACTTACATTTCAAGTTAAAGCGCGGTCTGTTGTTCCAGGTCCGAGATTTATCTCTTGGTCCTTCGTCTCTGACCCGATACTTGGCTGGTCTCTGAGTAAACACAGTTTATAGCCGTTGCAGGGAGTTTTCGGTAATGATTACGGAAGCTATCAGGAGATATTCTTATTCTCGAATGATCTTCCTACTTGTAACACTGAAATTACCATGATTTGACTGACGAACCAATCAACATCTGAATACCACATGCTTATCTTCAGTAGCCGACGAGTGTTTGTCAACGCAGGCTCGAAACTGTGGGTTAGGAATTAAATTCACTTAAAATTTCTTCGACGCCGAAAATGTGATATTAGCTACTGATGCTTCAAAATTCAAATTAAGTCAAGTCAACAAGTCTTACTTACTAGGGCTGTGCTGTCCGGAAATTTGTCCACCATATCCCAGACAAAATCAACTAAAGTGATGTCTGGTACTGAGATGTCAGGGTAGGGGGATTTAACTACGTTCTGCTCCTGGGTCGACAAATTGCGAGCGCTCTCATTGCTGAAAGAGGTCCATTTCTGGACGGCCCCCACGCGCCGTGACGTCATTGTTCTGTACGTACGTCGTCCATTCTTGACGATCCTAAGGCCCAGCTGCAAAGTACTCCAACTGTTCATGTTGATACCTGTGGTGGATCAGAAGGACGCAGAACTTATACCATGTCCAAGACAGCCACACACAAATACGGAAAGTCTGAAAAAGACTACGAAGTTGTTTATTTATTTATATAACTTATAAGAAAAGAGATGACGCTGGTACAAGTTTTTTTTAAGGAGACGTGATAAGAATATTCTGTTGGAATTTATTCTTACAGTATTATCACGAAACTCATTCCTCGCTTTAATCACCAGAGCAGTTAACAAAGGCATTTTCTTAAATTGTCATAAATCAACAGCTTGAAACGAGAATGTCATAATAGCTACAGCACTGCTCATTTGTCTGCATTTTTCATAATTTCAACTTGGTCATCAACCATGATAAAGGCTACAGTGGGGTCCAGAACGTAGGCTCACGGTAAAGATTTGTTTTGTACTGTGCCTAATGAAGGCTACGTAGTACAGACAGACATTTACATAAATAAAAACAGTCTCCATTGCGTTACATAACTCCAGTCAGACGTCACTCATGCTTCTAGTTACACAACAAAGTTTTGTCAACTTCATGCAGATATAAGATAAAACGCGTGTATTTTACGAATGCCTACAGTTTCTATTTTACATAATTTTCCTTCTGGTGAACAGACACTACCGGATATTAAAATTAATTTAAGGAGGATCGAATTTTCTCTGACAAACTGTAGTACCCAAGAAGCTGACTCCTTATCATTTTCTTCTTTCAATTCTGTACAGTATCGACCAGCGAATACTCATCATTGAAGAGTAAATTCGATTATCTGAAAGCCCAGAAAAGGTTAGAAATTTGGACCGGGCAGGCTCGCAATTTCAGACCTGGCCAATGAATTTGAGAGTCAGGATGAGGTTTCGACGATTTCTGTAACGTCGGAAACTTCTACCAGACTACACGCGCGCAACAACCCAGAAGACAGTCATCTTCTAACAGAACACTTTGTACACCAACTCTGTCGGCTGCCTGTGACGATCACCTTCTGTGTTTTAATACATAAATTGAACATCTAATTCTGAACACCAACGATATTTTTGTATCACGTAAACACCATATTCACGAACACTTGCTGTTTATAAATATGAGAATGTGAATTGCGAGAAAATATTTATCTTTGTTAATACAACCATGACGATACGAGTTGGTAAACACTGCAAACGTCAACATATATGAGATAAATATATATTTAGCAACTGGACATCATATTACACAAACACACTGGACCTTGAAGCAAGCCAAGATCTTCTCAGTTTGTCATTCACCATCACCTTTTAATCCAACCTTTATACTTTTGCGTTTAGGTTATGTTTGTGCTAAGTTTAAGCTCTGCTAAATTCTAATAATAAACTCACTCACTCAGATTGTCAAGAAATGTGCCGTCTTTTATGTTAACTTCTGTTTCATTGTGGTACTACTGGCAGTTGAACAGAGACTAGTCCATACCTGCACTCTTATCTGTAAGTCTGTCTTCCTTGGTCCCTCTCAGGTTCCCTGTCTAACATTTGTCATGTCTCTCACTCTGTCCCCCGCCTCCGAAACAACATTTGATGAAAACACGCATTGTCATTTCGCACTTGTCTTCATCGTCCTCTATCCTAGATCTACACATTCTAATCACACGTTCCTTCGTACACAAAGAAACTGCATTAGGACGAGCCCATAAATTCCTCTGTATCCATTAAGTCTACTCACCTCTGGAATGTCTGTGTTTGATAAACGCAGGTTGGAAGAAGGTTGAAGTAGCTTTATAGTTTCTCGTGTATGAGGGAGGGGCGAATAGGCGAAGACGCGAGAGGGGAACAACTTGAAAACAAGTGTAATGCTGTTCTATTCCTTGACCCTACGTGAAAGTCCAAGGTCTATCAGTCAGGTGACAAAAATGATAACAGTTAAAAATAGAAGGCTGTGAAGACAGCTCAGTTAATTTAGATTTATGAAAAATTGTTGCTTTGATGACAATAATCGGTGATTACAGTCACGATGCAATTTGGACAGCAGTTCGAACCCCACTCGGAACTTTAATTATGACCGCATGGTATCTATTGTTACCATGCGATAAGAAAATGCGTGAAGGATCAATTGTTTTGCAACTAAATCTTTATAACTCAATGGTAAGTGCATATATCACCCATTTTAACAGCCATTAACTCTGCATTTTCCCCACATGGTGATTATTTCCTTCAAAAACATTCTCAAGTAATCTTTGTAACGGTGAAATATGGCATTTTCATTGCGGTACGGACTAAATTTTTAAGTATTATTATTTTATTAGTCGAGCTTCGACTTCAACGTTCCTGCTATCAGTCTGTCTGTCTGTGTAAAACTTTATTTGTAGCACGAAATCCTCTAAGTTACCTTCCGTAAGTTACTCTTACTGCCGAAGTTTTGTTAGTTGGTTCGCGCCGAGATATATAAGAAAAGGATTAAAAAAGAAATGTTTTGTACCGCCCTGAGGAATGGAGGGGGCAAGAACCTCTGAAACATTGGTTAACTTCTACCTGACTACACGGCGCTACAACCCAGAAGAAATCTATCTAAGAAATATCTTAGTATAATGGCCCTTGCTGGCGTAAGCCTCAATTAGGTGGCTAACGATGCATTTTATCAGATCGGTTCTGCTGTTTTCCAGTGTATGAAGTACTACGAAAATAAGACAGAAATCTTTTTATTCTGTTCCTCAAAGTGTTAGCCAGGCTAACGCGGTTAACACGTACATTCCGTTCTTGACGAATTGTTACATAAGGACTGAGACCTGTGATAAGCTTTGCGAACGCGGCAGAGAATCTTCGAGTGCCCTTTGCACCATTTCAGACTGCTGTGTCATGGAGTGTCGTCAGGAACACTGATCGAGCTGCTTCTTGTCTGACATATCGGACACGTACTTTTCTTTGTGTGATTAGTTTATCAGAGCACGCTGGTTCTTGCTAATTTGTCTGTTTATTTTGAGCGATTTAGTCGTAGATCCGGACAGACTCTTGTGGCGGACTTTTGTGAACACAGTGATGAACCTCCGGGTTCCATAAACAAAGTGGGCTGTTCTTTAACAAGCCAAATATACAATCGACTTTTCAAAAAATTCCCTGCACCATAGAGTAAGTGAGAGATTCTATCACAGAGGATACAACGACTGGACAAAACGCAGAACGAGGTATGCACACGCAATTTTGATGGGGAAATACCTCAAGAAAAGAGATGATAATACAAAAATGGATTCTACAGAAACGGACTGGTGTGTGCAAAGGGTTCATCGTACTCACGGCGTGACCGAAGGCAGGATTATTTTCCACATTAATAACATATGTACAATGTGTCATGTTAAAAAATATTGGGCGAGACCCGTTTAAATTTAACGGAAGTATTTCTTTTGTATTTTCACCCTTATCCTTTCTTCTGTATCCCTTTCTCATTTCTTTCAGTCGTGAAGAAACCAGAATCAAACTACTTGCAAAAGCTGCCTAATGATAGCATCACTTATAAAACTGAATGTTTTTCTTTCAATTTCTATTCAACTTCCGGGCTCTGCAAGCACCAAACCTGCCTCTACATATCAGAAACACAAGTTTTGAACATGAAACGGGCTGCAAATTTTCGTGAAAATCGATCAAGTTCAAGGCAAGGTCTGACCCACCAAAACTTAATTCGGAATTTTGGTGGGGGGGGGGGCACGTGAAGGAAGGAGAAACCTTGGAGCATCTGGGCGTAAGAGAAAGGATAATATTTAAGTGGGCATGGACTGCGTTAACAAAGCCCGGAACATGTTCCAGTGGCAGGATGTTGTGAACACGATGATTAAACTTCCTGTTCCGACTGTCAGTTCCTCGAGGACTCGGAATTACTCAGAATTCTGGAGACAGACATCGGGCTACAATTAAGTGAACGCGATAGTCACGTAGGACAAATCAGAATGACTTTGAAAACAAAATACATCATGTAATAACATGACGAGGTTACAGAACTAGTTATTTGTGTAACAGAAGAGTTTGCTAATTCCAGATGTAGGTTTTTATAAACTAATGCCTACAAATGAAACTAAAATGTAACCAAAGGGTAGACAAACAAGAAGAGAAAGTTGACAGTGGATCCACGGTTCCGGAAAATTTGACGTAAATACGTCTATACTGAAAGGAATTTTATATTTTGGCTTTATTCTAAATATTTCCTTTATACATGCTTTACAACTGAGATAAGTTTGATTAAGACTGTGTTCTCTAATGACATATTATTCATACAAAAATCACGTGTCAGTGATACTGGTGTCCATTCCTGAATAAGACGCAGGGAAGTCAAAATATGTAACAGATTAATGAAGTTCATTAATAATTTTCCAAATAAAAAATATTAGGTAACAGAACATATAAAGCCTACTTTCCTATTGCATTTCTTGTCATACTAACCTTGAACTGTTTATTATATTAGCTAATAAATGTTTGTAAAATCCAGCAGTAAAAAATGATTAGCTCACAAGTTATAATTTTATTATAATTACATAATTAAATACACGTTTTATCATCGCTCACAATCTGAAATGTTATAGGATGTTATTACTGTCAATAACATCTAGGAAAGAACTTTTATCTATCTCGTATCGTCCTTTAGGAGAGGAATGTGAGTGACTGAGTGAGGCAGGACGGACGATTTCGAGAGATGACATGGGTTTTATTCCCGTTGTAACGAGAGAACAGCTCCACGCGCAGTAACGGATTTCCCATTGTGCCACAAGAACGCTGACATCTTAACGCCCTTGAACTTGTTTGCCGTCCAGCCAGTCTTCTTGTTTGTCATTTCAGAATGAAAGAATTGAATCGACGGTGTTTGATTAATTTACTGCTCCAGTTATAATTAATTGTGTAGAATGTGGCCGATAATGGTTAGTCCTCCTGGATGGAGGTTTGTCCTGGGGCTAACTCTGCCTTTATCACGCAGGGTAACATAATGCCTCGAACTTGGTATTTGAGTACGATAACACACGTGTATATCATGTACATAATGTTCATATAGGCCTAAATTGTTCTAATGTAGGCGAGAATGGAGCGCACTTGCAGCCTATATGGCCTATAGCAGTGGTATTCAACCTGGGGTACTCGTACCCCCGGGGGTACGCGAAGACATCTTAGGGGGTACGTGAAATTTAAAAAAAATATATTATTTTATGATAAACACTGAATAATCAGTAATGTAATTTATTTTAGATGTAGATTATATACTATATATATAACTTGAATTATACACCAACAACTTTGGGGGTACAAAGTTGAAGAGAAATTATATCTGGGGGTACGCGAACAAAAAACGTTGAATACCACTGGTCTAGTAAAAGCTTACTACAGTCTGCCAGACTACACATATGACGTATGAATATGATAGCATCCACATTATCCAACATATGAAAAACTTCTCTACATTGTTTTTAAGGTTATGTAACTCAATTGTTTATGAAATAGTTTCCAATCTTCCCCAGTCAAGTTACGCAACCTGCAGAATTTATTAATGCCCATGTGTTAACAGTTTTACTGAATAAAATTCTGCTTCGGCAGAACGTTACCAGTAAGCCCGCTACCTTCACGGAATCCATCTCGTTCTGAGTGAAGATCACCGTAAGTGCATTACTGTTTGGTTTATATTTAAATACACAAAACCAAACTTAAGCTATTTAGCGCTGAGGTTAAGAATGCGTAGAGATTCACCATACATTTACATGGCGTGATGATTACGATGATGATGATGAAGATACTGAGGCAAATTTTTGCCTTCAACTGATCAACTTAAAGTAAACATTACTCACCATCCAATATGAAATGGATATATAAATTTAAATTTTAGATGGAAACCATCTTAAATCTTTCCTTCATCTGCTCCATCACTTGATCAAAATTCGTCGTGTTTCGATGCCACGTGTATTAAAATCATTTCCTCGAGATTAATGGACACCAAATAATGACGTATGAACAATGCACGTCTCATGTTTGGTCAAATATGGTCAGATGAATTATCTTGCACTTATGTTGGACACTGTCCATTGTCCGAGTTATTATAACTGACAACTTAATTGAAGAAGAAATGAGGTACAAGGATTGAATCAGGGATGCATCATGAGGAGTTTACTGACACAATAGTAATCTGATTGCATAATTAAATTATTATAAGTTGTATTCATAGAGAGATGGAAGATATTTATATATGAGATCATCATCTCGTAAGATTTGAGGTTTTCACGGCGGTAAGTAAACCCAGAAGATAGAAATTTTGAAATATCTCATTCACAATTGTTTACGCAACAGTTAATAAAATAATTTGTTTTGAATACTATGGACGCTATAGGAGTTTGCCTTTAAGAACACTTCACTTTCTACCTGAATTAATATTTGAATTATACTTTACATACAATTCCTCTGTTCTTCGTTTGTTCCCACAATTTATGTGGGCCCAAGGTCACGACATGCAAGTGCTCCTTGATAATTTACATCTTCATACACGTCATTCCCCGTTCTAGGCTTATTTAAATTTCCGGTAATATTCAAATATTCAAACCTTATAAGTTTAAATAAGTCTGATTAACGTATTTCTTTGCATACCAAAAAAAATGATATAATTCTGCTCCCCACAAATTAGACGCCAGAACATGTTAACCGTGTTTCTCACCCAGTACATTCTATCTTCTTTATACTTTACATGGAATATTTTCTTTTCATTCTAAAAGTTCCTTCCTTTAGCCTGCAGTATCATCCATCAGTTCAGTCACGGACCCCTAAACTCTACATTTTTAAAAAACATTTCTTCTTCTTCTTCTTCTATGGCTCTGTGGTCCGTATTCGGTCCATGGCCTCCTCAATTCTTCTCTTTCATTCCGTTCTCTGTTAGGTCCGTCTGTCCGAGGCTTTATATAAATAAAACAGCGAAATTATACAATAATTTCAATAAAACTGTGTAACTGACAGTCAGAAGAGTCCAGTATATTTAATATACACGATTCCGAAATATATTCTACTCCCATTTTCAGGTGATAAGCTAACGGATATATTTTTATTTTCAATCTTAGTAGAAACTGTCACAATTGTAACTAAAACTCTCTAAATTCTAAACTGTGGTGGTTCAGAGCTTAGAAGAGAGACGAAATATTCAACGAGATTTGCGTTTAATCTCAATCCACGTACGAGTCTGACTTGCGAGTCTGGCTCGGCGAGCTTGACTCGTGAGCCAGGCTCGGATATATTTCACCACACATGCATAGCAGACTCGGCTCGTGACACCCCACCCACAAACGAGTTTGGCCCGATGGAACCCGAGCCGAGCCGGACTCGTACGTGGATAGTCCGCTTTAGTAATACTGATAGCGTACTTATCATATCTGAATATGGAAGTACGGCCACGTCCTAAACCACTCTACGTATCGCAACTCTGCTGTCACACTTTCGTAACTGACCTCATCACTCCGTTCGACGTTATTACGTGCAAAGGAAAATTTCAATTTTCATTACGAAAATTTCCGAGCATATAAAATGAAACTGAGTTGCCTAAATTTTGAGCAGACAAAAATGCACACAAAATCTCTCAGTAAAGTCCGGAAGGAAGGTCCGTCACTTTCCCAGCTATCACGTGACATGAATTACGAGAGCTGACGGGTGACGAGGAAGACCTTGGGCAGTATTCTGCTGCAGGCGTCAGGATCTGCGGTTTCATCAGCAGACGCACTGGCGAGCCTCCGGTTACGTGGTGCCCTGAGTACAGACCTGCGTTGGCGTGTCCTCTCTTAATGACGAAAGATTTACTACTGGACACACCAATTTTACTGTGGGAGTTCGTTGGTGACTGGTGATTCAACTGGGGGGCAGACTCAAAAGAACTGCCTTTGTTAGGGGCTGATGGAAGGAAGAGGGGATGACTTGATCCATCTGGAGGATATCGTCTGCTATTAGACACTGCGGAGGGTTCGTCGTCGGGACATCGGGGGAAGCGAGAACTACGGAGTTCTCTGCATGATTGTAAGGATAATGGTTGTGATGATGCTGATGATGACCGCGGCACAATGACGACAGGTGGGGGGGTGCTATACGCCACGGCTACGTCAGCTAAACTCCTTCTGGACCGTGA